GACGACGGCGGCTGACCTCTCCTGCGGCCAGCAGACGTCCGACCCGTGCTGTGCGCGCCCGTCGGGCCCACTCGGCTGCCCTCACCGGACGGCCCAACGGTCCCCCGGGAGTCGTTCAGCCGGCCCGGGTCGATCCCCGCCAGCCGGCCGAAAATACGCGGCAACTGGTGGACCGGTGACCGCCGCGGGGCAGCCGCGCACGAGCCGCGGCACGTCAGGGACGGGTGACAGGGGGCGCGTGGGTGGTCAGCGGGTCGGAGGCGGCTGGCAGGGTGGGGGGGGGGGGGGGGGAGGGGGGGAGGGAATATCGAACCGGTAGAAGAATTGGCATGCGTTCTCTAGTTATGTTAGGTTAGTTAGGTTATGGTTAGGTTAGTTAGGCAAGTTAGGGAAATACACTTCCTTCAGTTTTTCGAGCCGAGAAGACAGCAGCTGGGAGAAGTCGCAAATGAAGGTTTTGGTATAATTTAAACACGTGCCCGTGTGGCGGCTAATTACTCTTCGCTCGGTTGGGGATCACTGCCCCCCCCCCCCCCGTAGAATCAAAACTAATGTAACTGGAGGCACAAAATTCAAAGGGTGGGCTGGTTTGTGTGTGACATCACTATGTAAAAATTTTAGATCTGAGGGTAATTTTATCGTCACTTTGAATATGCTATGGGTACCGTTATCTCACCACACCTATTTGAGACAAAATTTGAGAACCTTTGGGTCCAACGAGGTCAAACTCAAGATTGGTGTCATAAGTGCTCCAGACTTCCTCAAGCAGCCGTCTTGAGTCTAGATGCTCATTTCTGGTCAGCATCGTTGGGCCAAATTGGCTCACGGTGACCAAAAATTTACGCGATTGTTTTCGTTTGGGAATTTTTGAATATAGATAAGACAGTATTGTTAGACTTATTCCTCAGAGAAAAATCAGGAGAATGGAGAAATAGATTGGCACCCTTGCGGCCTTCAAAATATGAATGCTGCTATTGTTTCGATAAAGGCGTGTTGCCGATACATCAACCTGATTATATATACATTCTCATGGTTTCTATCCGAGTAATAAGGCTAATACTACGGTCTTATCTATGTGAATAATGTTCCTCCCTAATGCACTGAACAACTTACGTAATTTTCAATACTGGTAAGAATTATGCTAACGGGTGCGCTTCCAACATAAAAAGTTTAATTATGTCATTGTAAGTCAGTGTATTACTCCGATTTTTTAAAACTCCATGGCAGATGTCTGTTGCGGTCCCTGTTATAACAAAAACAAAAATAAGCATCAGGAGCTACCCCGCCCAGCAAGCTCTCCAGCAAAACACGTGGTGGTTTTGACCTCGACCTGACCTTTATGCCATGTCAGTTGGTAGTCATGTATAAAAATGAATAACGCAGGATCTGTCTTGCGATCGGTCGGAATATTAACCAGCGTGACTTCACGCTGAGTCTAAAAAGAGACTGACGATGGTAAATACTGTCAGAACCAAATTTGAGAGGGATAGCATCTACCCTGGTCTCCCCACTTGGGTCAAAATGACGTCGCGAGACTCAATATTCTGGCCTATCACCGTTGAAGTCGTGCCTCATTCGCACATCGACGCTCTCCCACAAGTTATGGGAGCTTAAGTGAAGTAGTAGTGATAAAGGATGTTAAGTTTCAAAAATCCCGGCCGCAGCTCTGGCTACCGCTTACACTGCTTACTTGGCACTGCTTAGAGACGGCGGGACCTGGAGACGCGGCACAGTACGGCACATAGAATTCCCGAAGGTTAACGGCACTGTTTTATGCCATCCAAGAAAGGAATTCTAACAATACCGAAGACAACATTTTAGCAGGTAAGGCATTCGTCATCAGAGTACAACATCCAAGAAGCCCTGGTAATAAAGGGGATGTACATTGCTCCTGTCAAAATCCAACTTGCCGGAATGACGTCAACCAACCGTGCATGGCTCGGTACGAAGATGACGTCAGCGCACGATGCCATCTCCAGTAGCAGTTGAATCGCGTGCTAAGAGAGTTTTTGTCATCCATGGATATATATATATATATATATATATCTCTCTCTCTCTCTCTCCTCCTCTCTCTCTCTCCTCTCTCTCTATCCTCTCTTTTCTCTCTCTCTCTCTCTCCTCTCTTCTCTCTCTCTCTCTTCTCTCTCGATCTCGCCTCCTCTCTCTCTTCTCTCTTTCTATCTCTCTCTCTCTCTCTCTCTCTCTCTCCCTCGCTCTTCCTCTCTCTATTCTCTCTCCTATCTTCTCTCTCTCTCTCCTCTATCTCTCTCTCTATCTCCTCTTTCCTCGCCTCTCTCCTTCTCTTCTCTTCTCTCTCTCTCTCTCTCTCTCTCTCTCTCTCTCCCTTCTCCTCTCTCTCCTCTCTCTCTCCTCTCTCTCTCTCTCTCCTATCCTCTCTCTCCTCTCTCCCTCTCCTCTCTCTCTCTCCTCTCCTCTCTCTCCTCTCTCTCTCTCTTCTCTCGCCTCTCTCTCTCTCTCTCTCTCTCTTCTCTCTCTCTCTCTCTTCTCTCTCTCTTATCTTCTCTCTCTCTCTTCTCTCCTCTTTCTCTCTCTCTCTCTCTCTCCTCTTCTCTCTCTCTCTCTCTCTCTCTCTCTCTTCTCTCTCTCTCTCTCTCTCTCTCTCTCTCTCCTCTTCTCTCTCTCTCTCTCCTCTCTCTCTCTTCTCTCTCTCTCTCTTCTCTTACTCCTCTCTCTCTTCTTCTTCTCCTCTTCTCTACTCTCTCTCTCTCTCTCTCTCTCTCTCTCTCTCTCTTCGATCTATTATCTATCTAGTCTATCTATCTAATTATCTTCTATCTATCTATCTATCTATCTATCTATCATCATCTATCTACCATCTATTATCTATATCTATATATGATATCATTATACTATATATATATATATATATTGCCACCAGGTCGACAACACTCATGCAAAGCCACTAGGAGACATGTGCAATTGAAAGACGAGCGTCAGCTGTCAAATGGTATAGACTTGCAGGCAAACTGAACAAACTAAGATACACCAGGCGAGTTAGTGGAACCTAACCAACCGGTTCCCTACCGGTTGTGAAATACGCGGGTCCATCAGCCGAAATCAACGCTTCATTTGCTTGCCTTGCAGATGCTATCGTCAAGCTCAAGGCTGTTAACACTCGCCCGGGTAGCCGGCCAGATACTATTCGCTCGGGTCGGGAGCCAATTTGACCCCCCCACTGAGATCTCGGGAACTAAGAAAGCTAGAGACGCGAACTTTACAGGGTGTATTGATCTGTATGTAGACTCACTCATGTCAAAGTCTGAGGTTTCGAGGTCATGAATTTGGGGGCAAATAAGGTCAAACAAGGTCAAATTCCAGGTTGGTCTCCTAAGTGCCCCAGAACTAAGGTAACTGTTTCTAAGCAAAAGGTCACAGGCTCAGTTAACGTCAGTGACCTTCCTTGACCTTTTGAAGGTCATGGTGAACAAAATCATGCAAGACTGCCCTGAGTTTTGCATTTGAGTAAGCGACAAAAATTACGTTAGGTAGCATGTTTCTTTTTTTTAAAATGTTGACCTGAGTCATTTTAGGTCAATAACATATTCTGAACTTTAAGAAGTTCATGGAAGATGTATAATGCGGTTCCTCCTAGCAATAAATTCGAAATGAGCGAAATTACCTATCCCATACAGCAAGCTACATAGTAATAAAACAAATTGGTTTTGACCTTGGTCTGAAGTTCATACCTGACCTTATGTCAACGTAATTTACTCATTCATATTTGCGTTGCTTAAGAAAGCCTCTCAGAGATGTCTGGCTTCGTCTAACACTTCGTTGTTGCCTCAGATTGGACGATTCCCTAGACATTGACTTCGCTAAAACCATGGCCTGGCTTTGACCTGCCACAGGTCAGCGACCTTAACAGGTACATCCAACTTTTTTATATCAAACGATCCGCTATTGAATTATCTGCATCCATGCAAAATTAAGAGCGGCTATGCCGCGCCGTTTAGAAATAATTCTGGAAAAACATTCGGGGGTGAATTTAACCCCACCCGAGCGTGTGTTAAAGGTTAAGCAATAACCCGGCCGCTAGTACGTGTGGGTTTGGTTTAATGCTATGCACAATACCCATCTTTGATGGGTCACATTTTGGTCATAGCGTATTTCCTATCTATCACCCTTGGTCGTAGCCGTTTCCGATATAATGGTATGTTATATATATATATATATATATATATATATATATATATATATATATATAACACAAAGCATAATACAACATATCATATTATACAAATGTATATATGTAGAGAGAGAGAGAGAGAGAGAGAGAGAGAGAGAGAGAGAGATATATATATATATATATATATATATATATATATATATATATATATATATATATATATATATATATCGTGAATGTCAAGAATCACGTAATTGATTCGCTACTGCACTTCCGCTACCAAAAAATACGGTTACATTCCTCGTACTTTGTTAGGGTACGTATCTATCGTTTTCAAAGACGTGCAACCAATAATCCTCTGTACACATTTAAGAGCTTCTGGCTTAGGTCCTCAAAACATAAAAGCTTTACTTGTACAAGTTCAGAAATCAATGGATAGAATATGCCGTGTTACGAACACCGCAAACCCAGCTATCTAAGGCATGCTTGAGAGCAAGTTATGCTGATGACAATGCATCAGATAAGTTGAAATCACATCACTTAAGTTACTTATGTGTGGTACGGAAAGAACTGCAACACCTTGCCCTGTCCTGCCCTGTCTAATAATCATAGGAAGCCTCAACGACAGTGCAAATGCAAAAATGCAAGCCAAAAATGGCATAGAATGGTAGCGATATATATATATATATATATATATATATACATATCCATATTAAATAAATGTTACTCCTTAGAATGTTTTTGGCTGATCTCAAACTCATCAAGCCGTGAAAAGCTGTTTTTACCGGCTAGCTCCGGGTATATGTGTGTGCTCTTGTGTGGGTGTGGTGGTGTGTTTGCGCTCATGTCTCACCGGTCGAGATGGTGGGCTCGCTGGCCACAACCGGGGACCACTGCTCCTCCTGCAGCGAGTCGGCCGCCTTCACCAGGTCACCGTGTTGGACATCGCCGGCGAATCTGGCGGCAGGACACAGTGCCGTGCGAGCAGTGTGCACGCTGCCCAAACCAGGCGCTGAACAGTGTACAGATGGGAAATATCATATGCCTCGCAGCCGCGCTGGACAGCTTTGATGGATTTGCATAAACGGCTCGGCAACCGGCTCCCTGGGCTAACTGCGGTCGGGAACGAAGTCATACATTCTGGCAATCAATCATCATGCAGCGCTTGCTTGCATAGTCAGTGGGCCCAACGGCGTTGAATAATTCGACCGGCGCCACGTGTTGGGCCATGCGTTGAGGCCGCGTGCCACGTTAAGCACGTTACGCCGATCGTTCTATGCTTCAGGTCTATGTGCCTATGCTCCACTCTGGGGGAGACCGAAAGTTTTTGATAGTTCTTGACAGTGATCGGACGCTGAAATTTCTGCGTGGGTTTGATTTCATGAGGGCTCATCACGAAGGCTGTTCAAATATTTGGCAAATTCCTGGTCATGCATTAATGAGTGACTAGGCAATACAAACCACTGCGCAGATGTGGTTTCTTTCGTGCTTCTCGCATGCACTCTGCTTCATTGATGCGGGAGTCATTTGATTGCAAATAAGCATCACGCTAGTATTAAACGCACACAGCTACACTGCATAACATGTAGATGCAATGCCTGTGCACATGTACCGGTGAGTAAAACAGGCGAGGAAACCTATCTGGTCAACTGTGTCGAAATTAATTTTTCCCAATATATTGGTCGGAACACGTACGTTTCCTCGCATTTTCCCTGTTAGCAGCACCATTTATAGCTATACCGTCACCAACCAAACGCGGATTGCTTTCCACTCCCAATAGAAATCCCTAGCGCGCCCCCATACTCAAGCATGCAGCACCCACAGTATGCTTCACACAGTCGACGAACACACAGCCACCGTTTGCCGCTCCGGTAAATGCGCTTCGGCTGAATCCCCTCATCGAAAGACAGAGTCGCATTAGGCACCACACAATGGAGCAACAAAAAGACAATTTCCCAGAACGAGCGCCGCCACGCAGCGGGCGAAGAAGAGGACGACAGCGGCGAAACCGGACCCCACGTGCGCCACAATGCATTGCTATCGACCGTGCTGGCCGCGGCTGGGCCATCCCAGCCCAGCGCTGGCTGCTCTGCGCTATTCTTCGCCTGGGAAGCGCGGAGGTGGAGACATTCTCGTTTTGAATTTTGCTCCGGGAATGAGCTATGGCGGCGTCGACGGTGGAGGAGCCGGGCTGCGACGGGCAGAATGGTCCATGAAAAGAGCAGAAGCCGCCAGCGGGGATGAGCGCAACGCCAGGCAATGGCCGGCGCTACGCGCCTCTCTAAAGAGCTTAGACACCAAAAGTGCACTTCAGAGCTAAGACTTCGCTGAATGCACAGTAATGATCGTCTTAAGGGGACTCAGGCCTCCTCTTGGTCCTGAACTGCGTGATTTCCATGGCATTATGCTATATGCGCACCGCTGCCAAAGACTCGAGTAAGATGTTAGGGGGTGGTCGGGGAACGAATGCCTCCACTCGACTCGATTTCTCTGCACCGGGTGGTGACCTCAAATTTTGAACCCAGTTAGCGCGGGTTTGCTGAAAAATACGTGAAGAAATCAGTTTTTTCGTTCATGCCGCATTCTTTTACCGGAAGATGATATATTTTGTGAAGGATAGGCATCGACGCCTTGCATCGAATAGGAAAATAGGACGTGTATTCCACTCTCCAAAAAAGTAATCATGGTCTGTGCTAGTGCTGATAATCCCGGGACTTTTCTTTATCATGGGATCTCACGATTTTGAGAGATTCAGCCCCGGTTTATCCCGGGATTCCAGGATTGACCAGTCAGTTATAAATACGCTGGCAATCCGTGTTTTCCTACACTTTGGCAAGTGGCGCATGCTTGCCATCATAAGAGGAACCATCATTATGATACCATAAAAGGTCCCATCTTACCATCACGATTCTCTTTGGCGAAATATCACATTCGACCGTATAAGAGCCGTGGCAACTGAACAGTTCAAAGTACGACATCTTCATCGTCTGCCGTGCTCTTCGCCCTTAACAAAGTGAGACATACGAACTGCATTCATCATCTTTCCACATCATATTCTTTGGTTAAATTTCGAGCCAGGACGCAGTAGACCTTCCTGTTGTAACCCGGCCAGCAGGGTGCCTCTGTTCCGGTCACATGAGTCACTTGCTACGGTGGTAACGCGCCAAGGAGCAAAGAGCATCAACGGCCTCGTCCCTGAGGCTCGACCGCACTTTAGTGACGGTATATCCGAGAGTTGATTCCGGGCGCACTGCGGCCTGACTCCGAATTTTGATGAATGCCGCCGAAACTGTCTGTTGTCTCCCTGGATCAAAATGATCAGGCAATACCCAGCATGCTAACGCTTGAGGTGAACGCTAAGGCTCAGAACGCTGTCCCGAGAACCTACGCTGTTCCTAGGAGCCACATGCCACTTGCCGAGGAAATCCGAACGCTGAGGAGCATTTAATATCGCCCTTGCTTTCTTTACAGTTGCTCGGAGGGCCCGCGCTATTGTCGGGAGCCCTTTTTCTGGCATGCTGGGGCACTTTTGTTGATCAGAGGCCTTTCACGGATTCCTCTTATTCACCTGAAAGGTTCTTAACGCTATAACCGGGCTCTCATATATCAAACTGCCGGGGTATTCTAGGTTGTTCAGGACCCTTCACGTTGGTTTCGGTTACCTACCAGCACACTCGGGACATGCTGATGTACGCCCTACATTGGTCTAGAGCTTACGCTCTTGCTGAGGGCCCCAATCTCTCAGCCTCACCTCGGGCACACTCGATGCTTCGGGAGATATCAGACTCAGTCTTGGGTACTTTCTGTTGGCTTTTGCGGGCCCTACGTTCTTTTTTACGGGATCTCGTCTGTCAACCCGATTGGGGACGCTCCATTGTTCGAGGGTCTCTCACATTGGGTCTGGATACCTCCTTTTTGAATGGAAGGCCCTACGCTCTTGCCAGGGGCACAACTGTTAACCCGATCGGGCCCACTCGATTGCTCGGGGTACTGCACACTGGGTCTTGGGTACTTCCTATCCGAGTGTAGTGTCCTTCCACAGAAGGGTCCCACCATGTGCTAACATGCCTAGGCACTGTCAATTAATCAAGGGCTCTTCGCAGATTCCCCACGTTCACCTGAAAGGCTCTGCACGATATTGACAGGGCCCCACGTGCTGGGGCACACTCGGTTGATCAGGGTTTGCTGATCTAGTTTCAGCTTACTTCCACTCGCTCGGAGGGTCCTGTGGTGTTCCTGGGGCCCCTATCAGGCACTCGACGCTCAGAGGGTCTCTACATTGATCTAGGATTCCTTTCAGCTCATTTGCGGAGGGTCCTTCACTCTTGCCAGGGCCCTTTCAGTTGACCTGCCCAGGCACTCTTGATCGCACAGGGCTATTAATTCATGTGAACTGGTCTTGGGTTGTTCTTGTTTGCTCAGAGGGTCCTGCGCTTTGGCCGGACCTTATAAGGTGGCCTGCCTGGGTACTACCGATAGCTCAGAGGGTCCTGTGCTCTGGTCGGACCCTATAAGGTGGCCTGCCTGGGTACTCCCGATAGCTCAGAGGGTCCTGCGCTCTGGCCGGGCCCTATGAGGTGGCCTGCCTGGGTACTCCCGATAGCTCAGAGAGTCCTGTGTTCTGGCCGGACCCTATAAGGTGGCCTGCCTGGGTACTCCCGATAGCTCAGAGGGTCTTGTGCTCTGGCCGGACCCCATAAGGTGGCCTGCCTGGGTACTCCCAAAAGCTCAGAGGCCCCATCATAATGGTCTTGGGCTCTTCTCGCTTGCTCTGAGGGCTCTACACTGTTGACGGAAGTCTCTTTGTTGATCGCCACGGCAGCCTCGATTGGTCAGGTGCCGTCCTTATCGGTCTTGGGCTTTTTCATATTTTAGGAGGGCCTATGCCGTTAACGGAGACGTAAATCTTAACAATGTTTTGATAACGTTTTAGTGGATCGTCTTTCGCAGGGTCCCACGCTAATTACCACTCAGAAGACCGCTCATAACAGAAAATGTTCGTGGTGCCTGCCGTCGGGCGAGAATGACCATTCGCGCACCAGTTACCTCTTCCATCGATCACTCTGCAATGCACACATTTGTCCATTCTTAGAGTGGAAAGTTGACCCACAGCTCCTGCTCGGTTTCCATGCTTCTGTTCAGTGGAAGGTGTTTGCCTGCCCGTGGGGGCAATTCATCCAGCAGTTCGTTCGTCGTTGACATCTTTAAAAGCGGCGCCGAGCTATGATGGTCTAAGGGAGAAGCACCCGGGGAGAGGGAGAAGCTGCGTAATGTGGTTTGCAATCCACCGGCGCAATGTGCGGGTAATCATACACTATGGAACATAACTGGAAACGAAAACCAAACATGATCCGCGAGTTGGCCTTATCAACCAAAGTACTGTCTGGCTGACGGATATTTTAAGTGCATATGAATATACCACCGAACAGAATGGGCCCACTAAAAGTAATCTAACTCCATATTCCCTAGAATGAGGCATATAATTTTAGTCTTAACTAGACTTATCGACCCGAACGAATCAAGAATGTCTGAAATATTGCCGCGCTTGCACTTTGCCCCGGCCCCGCAACCCAATTGCATTACGACAGGGTACGACAATGCGGTTGCTGTCCTTCCACTGTGTTCGTGTTGAGGCCAAAGCTTAGCGCGATCGTGAAGAGAAACCTTCTGACCAGTACGCCCACCATGTAGTCGCCACGCCTTGATGGAAAAGCCTCATGTGAACAGCCCTCTTTTGACGCGCGGCCTTCATGCCAGCCGAGCCGGAGTGTGCCTATGTCAGGACACGGCCCGCGGCGGCCACCAGTCCGCGCTCACCTGGACACCAGCTGGTCGCCGTTCTTCACCAGGAGGACGTGGTTGGACGAGAGCGTGATCTGGTGGCCGCTCTCGGTCGTGAGACGCAGGTACTGAGCCGTGTGGTTGGAGCGCTTGTCCAGCCAGCTGACCACCGGGCTGAACGTCAGCTGACCGGCGCGGCTGGCTGCGGGGCAGGGGTCACAGATGCTGGCGACACACAAACACAGACACACACATCATGCATGGCGGCGCTCATGGGCTGCCAGACATGGCGACGGCCATGGGGCCACACATGACGGCGGCCATGGTGCCACACATGGCGGTGGTCATGGGACCACACACTGGCGGTGCTCAGGGGTACCACACATGGTGACGGTCCATGGTACCACGCGTGAAGCTGATGTCTGGCGTTTTCAGTGGGCAGCCTTGTTCACCTGACAGCCTGGTTTTAAGGCCCGAAATAACGGGCTGCACACCACGATATCACCCCTATCAGCACCGTATTTCACCACCATGGTCGAGTCTGAGTAGCCGATATAGAGCAGCCAGACGTCAATTTTCACCTACAACCGGCAATGAATATGGTTTGTGGTCATCATCAGCACAAGGCAGTTGGGGTTGAAGTGTCTAAGGGCGACACATAAATATCTTTAACCGACCCCTGGCTCACTGCTCGCTGTAAGTTATGGGGCATTATCGCCAGCTAGGGCCGCTAGTTCCTCATGACTAGCAAAGCTAGGTTGATTTCAGTAATGATAATAGCAAGATATCTTGCCCTATTCAAAACAGCGCTTTGCGCGACGACATTGTTTCTTAACACCGGCAAGGCACACAGGGGAGGTCTCGAACTAACTCAGTGTTCAAAGATGCTTCCGCTGTTTTGACCACCGTACCACGTATATGCTGTGCTTTTCTGCGGGGGCATAAAGCATTCACTGGAGAGACGGCACCTGTAGGTTAGCTGAACAGTTACGCTTCCAGCGGTTTTTCCACGCGTGCGTGTGTGGCTCTCTGCGCTCCAGCTGTGAGGATAGTACTGAGGTGCCGCGCTGCTTGTCGATGACATTCCTCGCCTGGCACGCGCGGACAGCTTGGCTGCCGCGGCCATGTCACCAGCCCTGCCATTGCGCTACCGCGGCAGCGGTTGCAACCACTCAACTACGGGGGACCCTTCTGTGCTTTTTTGAGGCGCACATAATATGCGTAGTAAAACTGACGCCCAGGGGTGTATTTAGAGGAGAGGGGAGCATCGGTGGCAAATACCCGCTAACTCAGTTTTCAAATGTGTCAAGACGCATGTAAATAAGTTTCAGTGTATAAAATCTTGAGCCAGACAAGTAAACGTCAGTAATTTAAAAACATACGGCATTCTCACTGTCATCACATTATTCGCGTTCAATTGCAAAATCTAAAGTAGTGCCTTCCCCATGGCGAAATCATGTACACGGCCTGTTGATAACCATGATTAACTGAAATATTGGAATTTCTCAGCTGTGTTTTTGTGCGCATCCCGCCATCTAGCTGTAACGCCGCTTCTCAACCATGCCCTCATGGGTGGAGTTCGGAGAGCAGCATACCACACGCATAGAAATCCAAGCTAAGAAATTCGAACTCTTCAATTAGCATACATGCTGCAATACGCTTGCGAAGATATGGCTGCTCTCAAAAATTGCCGAATGAATGGCCATTATTCACCACACACCAGACCTGAACACATGTGTTTCATTGTGACAACTTGTGCCTCCCCCATCACATCAGAGTTCACTCTTTGTGCTACACTCGTCCCAGAGGTCATTCGCCTGAAGGTCATTCGCCTATTCGCCTTCATCACGCGTCATCCGTCATCGGTCGTGTGTCGATTCTGTAGCGAGGGTCAACATCATTAGGATTCGTAACTTCTAAGGAGGTTGTACTGGACGTGCAAAGCACGTGGTTTAGAGGTTTGCCAATTCGTGAAATGTTTCCACTTTTAAAGCTAGCTCTGATAAAGCCATTATGATGAAAACTTTGTTCTGTGTTTGGCCTCTTATACTATAAACCATGACAATTACGGTTATTGCTCCTTTTGTAATCACGATCTTCGGTCTCAGCCTTAAGCTGGGTCTAATTACAGCTGTGTTATCTCTCCAATAAACATCACATATTCCTGCAGCCAAGCATGGGATTTGGGCATCTCATGGTACAGTGGTTAGAGCAACTATAGGACTAGCTGAGACCGATGCCCGACTATTTGAGCGACGCCATTTTTTCCAAGCACACCCGATCAGACGTTGTGACAGCTGCAGCACGCTGATCAAAACAACAAACGTTGACGGTCAGGTTAAAACACCAATGCAAATCCACGCTGAAAAATGTAAATGCTTGATCAACTCACGCTAGGCAGGGCCCGTCCGAATGTTAAGCCTTGGAGGTGGGGAGAGGTGGCAACTTACCCCAGCTACACGTGCCATGTAAATACTAAGTTAGAATGGTCTATTACACTAGGTCAAGATGCAAGTGTGTTTTAGTGCTGTGCGCAGTTTAAAAAGGACAGGGTCTTGCGTGGCTTTATGGAAATGATTAAGAACCGACGTCATTTTTTTGGGGGGGAGGAACTTGGCATAACGACTTGCTTGGGCGATATGCGGGGTCAGGTAAGGTCGGCGTGCAGATCGTCCGGCAAAAGGAACCATTGAGTTATTCAGCTGTCTTTTCTTATCGATTCAGTGCGCTTAGTATTCCACGTGTGTACATGTTACGCAAATTCACAGCCCGTTCTGCTGAAAAGCAAGATTTTCCAGAAGTCTGCGGAGACGTTCGAAGCCGCAAGCGTACGAACCGTTTATGCAACAGGTTTCAATGTAATTTCCTGTTGTCGTCGCGCCTTTCAGCGAAAAGCGGCGCCAGCTTCCGGCAGTTGCGTTCTTGCCTCGCGCGGTGGCGCCTAGGGTCGTGCTCAGTGAGGACTTGTGGTTTACTGACCACGCCTTCCTTAAAATAGCATTGGAGGCAAGCATTGCGCAAGGTAACGCCCTCATTCATCGGTGCTTCCGCCGCGGCGCGAGCGCTCGTGATGGGCGGGGGCTGCGGTCAGACATTAGTGCCTCCCCCTGACGCTTACGGCGTACCGGAGCGTCCCCAGTGGGCGGCCAACACAAGGCATGTTTGGGAACCAGATTTTACATGTCCATGAATATACCCGAACGCCTATGTTTCATCTAGGATCCCAGGTGTCCTGAAAAAGGGAAAATACACGAGTAAAGAAAACTATCAAGCTTACACCATCGATCAGTGTTATGCCATTGAGTCCTTTGCGTGCAGCATCAGTTCAGCGACTCGCCTTGCACTGCACAGCATCAGTTCAGCGATTTACCTTGCACTGCACAGCATCAGTTCTGCGACTCACCTTGCACTGCACAGCATCAGTTCAGCGACTCACCTTGTCCCGCACAGCATCAGTTCAGCGACTCACCTTGCACTGCACAGCATCAGTTCAGCGACTCACCTTGCCCTGCACAGCATCAGTTCAGCGATTTACTTTGCATTGCACAGCATCACTTCAGCGACTCACCTTGCACTGAGTAAACTAGGCATTCGTTACACCAGTCTCGTAATGCACAGCGACCACATTTTTACTGTGGCCATCCCTCAACGTGCAATGGTCGATGGCTTACCTGCCAGCACGCGGTCGTCGACCCTTAGGTCAGCCATGTTGATGACGTCACCGGTCTCCTTCATCACGGTAGCGTCTCCTGCAGGTCAGATGACTCAGTCAATCATCTCAAAGTGTTCCGTCATCAACAGCACGCCTCGGCCCTTTTGGATGATCCAGCGCATGCAGGGAGTTGTTACTATGGCGAGCAGACCTCTTGCCTCACCAGTGTTTTACGAACTTCCCCGTATGACCGTCTGCCAATGTGTTGAAACCATGCTTGGACTTCCTTCATGGATGTTTTACAAGTGAATCAAACATTCTGCCCATCATCGGGGTTATGTTTCTTTTAGGTTCCGATGAAATGGGAGGCATGCGTATTCATCTGATCGCCAGTCGTATGCAGCTGTGGTGTGGCAGGGCGGTTTGATCGAACAGATCCCAGTTTTAACAAGTGCCGCGGCACACAAGAATCTACACTGAGATATATAGATTTCTAGTGCTCGCCCTTACGTGCCATATGGTTGGTAGCATCGACCTGCTGACCATATTTCCATACGATCCATTTCGTTTGAATAATGTGATGTAGTCAATCTGAATCCCGAAGATCTCACAATCCACTGGGCCGATTTTGTCGTTCTTAAAGCTCCAGCTGATCGCCTAAGTGTGAACTTCTTTTAGGAATATAGAATGTTACAAAATTTGATAGTGGTTCATGCATGACAGAAAATGCTCGAATGAAACGCATATTGTAACTTTGCGTGCTCAGTGGGCATGACCAACACGTTGCATTAAACAACGGGGAATTTAAGCTCCTGCATTTAATATTACACCATATACATCTTCTGTTTCTGCGTCGGAGGCGTGCTCGCAAGAATATACTACCAAGGCCAATTTCAAGGGAGGTTAAGGGGAGTGTCCACCAGGGGTGGTAAAAGTGTACCTTTTTACAGTTAAAATTGTATGCAGTGATTATACTAGTAATTCCATCAAGACAACTTTACAATTCAGTGTTAGCAAAAACAGTAAAGAAATATACCATATTTGCATCAATGCAATGCCATGGCCACAAGTGCAAAGAAAAAAATATATAGTGCAAAGGATGTGAATGAGCGCTGCAGAATGAATGACTTCCAGAGTTTTCCTGTTACAGTAGGGGTTCTATCATCAGGAAATAGCCAGCATTGTGCTCAGAGACAACCAAATGCTAACGCTTCACTGACCTCATAGGACAGTTGGACCACAACACCATAAACCTCCTGCTATTTGGATAAATACTCCTGGCGAAGGGGGAGATGACAATGGAACCTGTACGCCCCTCCCTCCTGATTGCCTGCATTTGCTACAGCGCCCCATTCCTCACTTTCATTGCTCTCCCATGGCTTACATTACTGGCTATCATATAAATTTCCAGCAACCAAGATTCATGTGAGCAAAAGGCTGGACTGTGAATAATTGTGTAAATGCTATCAAAACATTGATGAAATAATCGCATTTCAAGTCAGAGCATAGTTTTGGAGGAAAGGTATGGGAGCAGTGAAAAATGATGTAATGCACACACAAAATATGGATGTCTCCCAGATAAGCACACTTCTTCACAAATTCGGGGGAGGCCGGAGCCCTGAACTGAATGAAAAGTAGGAACACTCCTGATTTGAAGACATGTGCGACTGGCTATTCTTCTCAATCAGGGCAAGAACAAAAAATGGCATAAATGGGCATTTCAGAACTATTATCACCTGTTAATTACCCTCATGAGGAATGTCATCAGACTCCAACATCGAACACAGAGGGAATGTCATCAGACTCCAACATTCAGAGGGAAGAAGGATCGAAGAAGTTTGACTCACTGACAGCTTCAGCGACTCAAAAGTCTTTTCGGTGCCTTGAAAAGGCGGTTTGAATAATCACAGGTCAACTCCTACCTTGATCGTATCATCCCGCCGATTTACACTGAACTGCCAATGCCTCTCGTCGTTGAGGACAGGCTGCTGAATCGTGGCACCGCCAACGAAGAAAGTAAGGTCAAAAATTAAACCCTTGGTTAAACCGAAAAATTAAACCCTATTCGTGACACCGCAATGCAAATGCCACTTGTAAAATTGCGGTGCGTTGAAAGTCACCGCCCACCTCACACCAGTCGCGTCGCAACAGTTCAAACATCACCTTGTGGCCAGATGAATCCCCATATATAGATTGCTTTTAGTATTATATATTGTTTAGTGCGGGACACTGAGGGTCGGCTGTTAAAAACAGAGAATAGGCCGATCGGCCGGGCCATAGGAAATACAATGATTTGTCGTCAATATGTTACCGAGTCGGCCGACCAACTAAAAATCATAGGATAGTTTTGTCGCCGGGTTGGAATGTAATCTAGATAGATGCCATGGTGCCGTGGAGCACGGTAAGGAGTCTTTACAGGAACGTTTGCTGGTGTTGTGTGACGAAATGTATTACCATGGAGGCATGATATCTATGTATGGAGACCTCATGTCATGTTTCGCATAGTGTGCTGCATTTTTTCGTTTTGGCCGTCACCAAAATTTACTGTCCGAAAACACTTTTGGCACCAAGCCCCGCGTGAATATATGAAATTTGTCGCCGATCCTATCCACCAAGTCTGTAGGTTTTGCCACTCATGTGTTCCACAATGGTGCGGGGTTTTCAACTGAGATGGCAATTTTATATCTCGTCTAGTGTAGTTTACAGCCCCGCCCTTTTTAAGACTGGTTCCTGAGCCTGACACCCTCCAACATGTGGAGACTACCTGTTGCAGACTATTTCAAGGTCGCCAAGACAAGAATGACGCCGTAGAAACTTCACGAGACTATTGCTAACACGTTGGCCGTGTAGTGATCAAGGCCAGTAAAAATATGATCACATGGAGCTGCCCGTGTCTGTTGTGCGCCAGCACGATTTCGGCTACCAACGGAGTTAAATTGTCACTCAACCAATAAAATGCTCCCAGTGCAGGTTTCGAACACGAATCATGTTTTGTGGTACATAATGCAGGAAATTGAGCTGTGGCACGAGTTATGACGGAAATGGCAATCTAACAGCTTGCAATTCAAACAAAACAAACGGACAATCTTAAACTGGCGATTACAAAACTGGCAATCTGAAAACTTATTATAAGTAACGTTATGACCGAGTATTTAAAGGCAAGTAAATAACATGAACTCGCGGACGAATATGCAAGAACGCCACAAGAAAGGGCCAAAACACGAACATATGACGATATCCGATTCCGCAAACACGCTCCAGTAACACGCCTCCTCTCGACAAGTTGAGGCACTGTATGTGAGTCAGCCTGTCCACCTACATTGGCAATTCTGGACAGTCAGTACGGCAGCGACTCGGCGTCGTTAAGACGTTACGTGACGTAAACGATGACATGCTGAGCAACGCATTTGCTAGATAGTGAAGTTATCCTGTCAAGAAAAGTCTTGAACACGTCAAATCAGACCAATAGTTGTAAGTGAGCTTATTCATCATATCTGATGCTTGTATTAAAGGGATGTTCCACACTTAAATGGGGTTTTGAGCTGAAATAGCCATCTTGAAGACCTTTCGGTGTTGCTCACAACACTGCCCTTCTTGGAACCTAACCCCTCTAGTTTCTGAGCAGCATGCCTGCAAAAATGGGCAAAGGTTTATTGAAGAGAATATTTCCAAGTCACCTTGGCATTCATGACGTCATTATAACGTCGTCCAAATTATGTCATTCTGTAAGCCATGCAGCGATCAGGGCCACAAAATATAACCGTCGAGGCGTTCATATCTGGCATTCGTGAGTGCGAGTTCCACCTATAACCGCGTCAATTGGCTCTCAATCAATGTTGTACAAGGTACGATGACGTAATCAAACCATGACGCATTGAAGAGCCCATTCACATAAAGAGAATTGTGCTGTCTGGAGCAGCCTTTTCCGCTTAAAAAGTATACCAATAGTTATAAGTGATCTTGTTTAATCATACCTGATACTTGCTTTAATATCTCCAAATGTAAAACATTTACTTTGATGCCTTCAAATGTGGAACGTTCCCAGTAAGGTTTTTCTATATAACCTATTTAACTTTTTCCTTCAGATAGCTTGAATTACTCAACACAAACGTTAGTGCAGACTTTGGCGTACTCTGAGTGGGAAATGAACCACAAATTATTTGCCATGATTATTCCAGCGTCGGCAAGACCACAACAATCGATATCCCTGATTGTAAGGCGAGGCAGGCTGTGCAAATGCTTCGACGAACCGGTGTCTTTGTCAGTGGTGGATGTCGAAATGCTAAGTTAAGAATTGATTTGATTGCCAGCAAATGTTTTTGGTCAGAAGACTTGTGGGTTATGACAGAAGCAGCTGCAAAAGGCTGTAAAAATGTAAAAAGCAGGGAAGTAGAATGCATGTTACCTGCTCACCCCCGTTATCTGACTCCTCCCTCCCCTCCCAGCTGCGTTCTGTTGAACATTTGCAAAATGACCTGGAAATAAATAGCAGATAATCATAGCATTGAAGAGCCATACAGCAATCGCATTAAAACAGCGTTTCTCTCATTCGTGTCGCCTGGCTTTCTCCCATTCAGGTCGTGTCTCTTGCTCATGCCTCTACGCTGCGCTAAAGGATTGCCATTGCCGACATGTTAGGTGCCGGCGGTCAGCAACAACGAAAGCCTGGTCATGTCCTCGACAGCTCAAAACAACATGGATGCATGCTGCTGCTCATTCCCATTCATCTTCGGAGATGTCACCCCTGTTGTCGCAATCTTGTCATCAGTTCATATATCATATGGTATCTGAATGCACGCCATCATTGAAGACTTTCGATTGTCTGTACTACTTAAAGATAAGATTGTAAAATCAGCCAATTAAACGCTGGAAGACAGACTCATTTATAGATACTTAAGCGGCGCATTTGAGCACGGGGCATCGGCCATTCATTTTACCCCCATTCTGCCACACCGTAGATTTTAGAAAACGCCACAGAATTTAGACAAGCTGATAATGCGTTTAATTTCATTCAGTGCGTGACAATCACAGAGCACAGCCATGCTAGTGAGCCAATAATACACGCAGCACTCGCTTGAGCGTGCACAGGTCAGCGGT